AAGTGCCCGAAGACATTGAGAGCTATTGTGATAGTCTTAACTATAGTCTAGACATAACTGCTATGAAAACGTCGACTCGATTCTCAATAATTGATGACAACATAAATGTATTGTTTGATGAGAATTCAGTTTCATTTGACCGCAAAATTCTGGCCTCTCTTTTGGCATTTTATAAACAGGACTTGGATTTAAATTCAGTTCTTAATCGTTTCAAAAGTTTTAAATGCAATCAATTGAGTGCTTTTGTTCATGAATTACAAAATGATTTTCCAAATGCTTTAGACTTTCAATTACAAGCCTTACAGCTGTCTCTTCCCATAGATTCGAAGCAATTCTCTACTTTTTATTCACTTTTATTTAAAACTTTTGTTTTAAAATCCATCGCCAATATTGAGAAATTGACTCAAATTTTTGATATATTTTTTAAATTTTGGTCAAAAAATGAAATATCTTTTGATTTATTGGAAATACTTGTGAACGAAAACTATAGAAATGAGATCAAAGACTCGATGTTTGGCATCTCTTTCTTCAATTATTTGAAACGAAATCCAAATGTTATAAATGAATTCAAATCTAGTTTTTTGTTAGAAATGGTTGACTTCACCATTGAAACTATCGCTAAAAGACCGGACAAATTGTTTTTATATCAAACAGACATTGAAATGATTACATCAGACGTCGAAGACGTCTCATTTCCAGCAGAAAAGTTGTGGCAAAATATATTGACTTATTTCCAGACAAATAAAGACTCAAATATTAATACTGGTATTGAATTTGAAGCCACTGATGATGTGGTTATTATCTTCAATTGCAATCATTGCTATGGATTTAATGAATTCAAGCAAACAATTGTTCCCAACTTTGAGAGAGATATCGAAGAATTGCGAGAAATTGAAGCCAAAGATAAAGATATAAAAGAAATGATTATATATTATAGGGATTGGGATAAAGAATTGTGGGACAGTATGTGTCCCGAATGTTTCATTAGTCATATCAAAGCCAACAATTAAATGTTATTTTTAAATATTAAAGTTTATTAAAATTATAAATGTGTTACAAATTTAAATGTATTTTATAAAATTAATTTTAAATCTAATTTAAAAATAATTATTTTAAAAACTAATGAGCTTAACAAATCTTATACAGAAATCTGTAATAAAAGAAATTGTTTTAAAATTAAGTTAAAAATTCATTTAATATGTGATTGAAAAATAATTCTTGAGCATTATAGCATACCTATGATAGCAAATTTAAAATATTAAAAATTTGTTATTAATTTGCAACAAAATTATTCTGTAAATACAGTATTAATTAAGATTAAGAATATTAATAGAGTACAAAGAATTAAGTTTATAGATAAAGCCAATCAAAAAAGTTTTAGAGAGTGGGAGGAGAGAGAGAGAGAGAGAGAGAGAAAGAGAAAGAGAGAGAGAGAGAGAGAGATTTGTTGTGAAATGAATGGTTTGGTTCTAACGTGAAGTTTACAAACAGTGAACACATGAAGTGATTGACTGATTGAGTGATCATTGAATGGCTAATAGTAATAGTAATGACTTATTGTTTGAAAAGTTTAATACTTTAGTAATTCGTCTTCAAATCAATCAAAGATTATTTGAGGAAATGATACCTCAATTGGATGACCAAAACACACGCAAACAGTTTGACTTAATTGCTTCAGACAACCACCGAGTGATCGCTGAACTGAGCCATGAGTTGAGACAATACACACTCGCTGTGAGTGCAGACACTGGTGGTAGTCATGCGATGGACACCCGTCCGATGAGACCAACTGGCGATGAAATGGTAGCAACAAATAATGAGTGCACACCCACTGAACATACCAGTGCTGACAGGACCAGGAGGTGCTCGTGGCCCGGATGTAGCTACTCGACTAGGTTCTCGGCCAATATGACCCGTCACCTGTACGTGCATTCCGGTGAGAAGCCATATGTGTGCGATTGGCCGCAGTGTCACAAACGGTACCAACAGTCCAGTGCTTTGGTCACTCATAAGAGGACTCACGTGAACGCAAAGCCATTCGCTTGTGATTGGATTGGATGTGATTACCGGACAAACAATCGGTGTTCCCTTCCGGCCCACCGGCGCACACATTACGGCATCAAAGCGTTTGCCTGCGATTGGCCGCAGTGTTCGGTCACGTGTTCGACCAGAACTCACTTACGCGACCACCGATTGATTCACACCAAAGACAAGCCATTCAAATGCGATGTCTGTGAACAGAGTTTCTCCAAGAAGTCTAATATGACGGCTCATAAACTCAGTGTCCATTTGGGAGTCAAAAGGGTTCGCAACAAAAACAATTGCGACCCCGAAGTGAATCAATTGTTTCAATAAAAGTATTCAAAAGTGTCAAATAATTCATTTCATAAAATACTGTATTTTATTAAATATTTTAGAGTACTTAACAAATTATAAAATTTATGTTTATTTTCCATAATCTCTGTCTAAATATGTTTGTATCGATTGTCTACTAGTTTTGTTGATAGCGTCTAAGTCTGAGTTGTCTCAAAGTTTCCGCATCTGAAGGGTTTTGCGGATAATTATCACTATTTTCTGTGGGATATGGAGGCGCTGTTGGTTGAGTTCTGGGTCTGGAATTGCGGTTATCATTAAGACTTTGCTCATAAGCTCTCCTAAGCTGTTCCTCTTCTGACATATCGTTGGGAACATAAGACTCATAATTGTGTCGATTCGACGAATAGCCGGAAGTGGAGCTCGAGTTATAATTTCTTCGGTAATTCCCGTAATTATTGTTCGAATTTCCTCCCAAACCACCGAACAATGGATTCAATATGTCTATGAATTCGCGTAAAAAGTGAATCAATTGTTAATACAGTAGTTGTTGAGTGAATTTCATTTGCAATAAAAGTTTGAAAATCAAATGAACACAAACTGAAGACAAATTCGATGGCATAGGAAAGCGGTCCATAAATATACGCCAAACCGACCAAAATTCCGGCCAAATGTCCGACGAATGAGGCGTTTGGGGAAATGAGTTGAATGACCACCAGTTCACCCCAAACAGCATATTTGGATCCGATTGGTATCCATCCCATCAGATACGAGACCCGACTGTCATCGAAATGAGTGGTCAGTACTTTGAGCGCAAATATAACTCCTGTTTCGATGATATAATTGTAAATTGAAGACATGTCCACACATTTGATGCACAGATAAGACACACAAATGTATTCATCGGTTGCTTACCCGAGAAACCGACGGAACAGTGACTCAAATAAGAGTAATCTTCGCTCACATCTGCCATCAATTTATTGGCAAAAACATAGGTATAAGCCGTGGATATAGTGAACACCAATAAAGTGATGGCGAATCTAAGAGATCCTAATCTGTTCTCCAGTGACCGGCCCTTCCAGAGGAATGACACCATATTGTAATACAGGTGCCAGTCGTCGCCGTGACTTAATTGCGATAATATTAGTCTCAAGTATTCCTTCTTATCTATTATTGATCTATAACTCAGACATACGTCCCAAACGTCTGATACGGGAAGCTATGGATTGAATGAATTAATTGTTTCAATAAGAAATGTCTTCATTTGGGAATCAATGCATTGAATACCGGAATAATGCGGAGGAATATCAGGATTTGAGTGACAGTTGTAACCAAAGTGACGGTCGGAATGCCATAAGTAGTGGCCGTTCGGACCAACTCGTGGACCAGCAGTAAGACCGCAAACGATGGCACCCGAGACTGACCTCTGTTTCGGTTCATCACTGATACTAATCATACGATACACTCAGTAGTCGTTGCAATCAGTTGTCAATCACGGAGTGTTTAATCGTTTCAAAACTTTTCATTCAAAACATTTGATGCAATGTTTCACTACTTTATGACATGTTTTGCATTCAATACACTCAACACTCACTATAATAACCAATGTATCACTTGTTGTCTTATTATCATAATTACGGTTAATTACTATGAATTACACTTTCATTCATCATATCAATTATCAAATGTTTCATATATTATGAGATAATCAACTTTAATACTAAATTAAGGCAATGAGTGCATGTTTGCTATCAAATAGACTATCCTTTAGTAGCGTAACTCAACATTAAGTAGACGTCACCCTAAGGAACTTGATTTGAATTGAACCAACTTTAGTAATTGAGATCACCTAGCATGTTTATTCCCTAATTCTGTACACATATGTAATGAACTGATTTGTGATTTAATTGTTCTACAGTTAGCTATATATTGAATATATAAATGACTATATGTTCACAATAAATGCTACTTAGCGGTCAAGTTTAGCCATTAAGTTAAACTTAAGTTAGAATTATAGCACTAAAGGACACTGGGCACATTCTCAATGCTATATATTTTCAAATCATAGTGAAACAAATGACTCATTTATATTGCGCGTGATCCAGTTCACTTTTAATCTGCCAAAGAGACTGCAAAGTGTGAGTTATATAACTTATATCATATTGTATGAGATGTGAAGTGAAGCATACGATCACGTGTTTGTGTCACTCAATGGACACAACGCGTGTTCAATGGTTTAGAACTGTTTAGAGTAGAGTACAGTATGGGAAGCAAGTGGTGGTGAGGGTATTGCATATGATAGTTATGGTCAGTGTGTGTGTCTGTGTCTGTGGTGATGCTAATGAGTGCTAATCATTGAGCCATACATTCACTGCATGAACAGCAGTGTCTCACTGAACACATCGATGATTGCAGTGATTCACTGATTCAGTGCTTCTCATGTGTCGTGTGTCTCGTCTGCCAATGGAGTGAACTGTGATTGAGTTGACAGTCAGTGAACTGGTGTCTCATGGAGTGAGTGTTTGGCGCGCATTGAGAGCTCACTTGTGCGCAGACTCCCAGTGACTGTCATTTTGAATGTGTTATGACTTTTGAATCGATGAACAATTGGATTCAAACCATTCATCCATTCGTTTGACATTCACTTCATTTGATCCCACATTTGGTGTGCATTTCCGGCGCATCTCATCGCACAGTAAGTGATCGCCAATTGATTTTCACAACTTGTGTCTAATGACACGTCTATTGCGTTAAGATATGCCGCGCGGGAGACGCAAAGCGAATCAGTCGGCGCTGGAAGTGCCACAAGAAGTGCTTCACTTCGACGCGAATGCCATGAATCCGATGTATAACCCGCCGGAAGACCCGTCGGGCTATTCGGAGCCCACATATGTTGCTCGCGATGACAACGACTACATGCCATCGATGGACACGAGTCGGGGCACAGAGGACTCGAACGACACGTCTTTGGCCACCGAAGACGACCCGACGGCCAAACGCAGGGGTAGAGGACGGGGAAGGGGTGGCGGACGCGGCAGAGGGCGAGCCGGGAGACCGTCGATGAATCGGTTGTCCATTACGGACACATCGCTGAACCGGACCGTCGAGGACAGCAATAGTCTGTTTGAGAGCGTAAGGGGCGGCCGATCGGCGCTCCAGTCGGTGGTCGACGAGTGGATCGAGTCGTACCGTCAGGACAGAGAGGCCGCCATTTTGGAGTTAATGCAGTTCTTCATCAGGAGCTCCGGATGTAAGGGAAAGATTACGCCACACATGAGGGAGAGCTTAGACAACGGACAGATCATCC